AAAAAAAAAAAAAAAAAACATTGCGTTGCAGTGACAGTATGAGAATTGTAACGCAGTGATAAAGATGAAAATTATGATTCGTTCGAGACCTGGTCGAGGTATGCACTCAGTCGTACAATAGGTAAAAACGAGAACAAAATGAACAAACGTTTGAATTCTACGATAAAGTAAGTTTAATTTATTCTACAAAACTTTTTGTTTTTAACAGTGTTTTTCTTAAATCTTTTATCTTTACGCGTACACGTCTTATAAAAATACATGATAAAGAAATTTTTTTTTACAATAATTGCGGAAGAAAAAGGCTGAGAAAATACTCGTAGTTAAATCGTTGTTTCGTTTGGAGTAGCGAGTAGAATAGAAAATGACGATGTACGTGAGACTAGTTTCTAGTACATTTACGATATAATAAATTATCATTTTTAATAAAACGATGTGTGAATTTTACACGGCACTTTTTGAGGCACGTTTTCTCTTCACACAACGATACGATATACAACAGTGTCGACAAATTAACGTAGGAAAAGCATATTTTATATATACGTACTTTTTTCTTTTTTCTTTTGGCTTTTGTAGGATTTTCAAAAAGAATCTCAATCTCTCAAATGGAATTATCTGCAGTTTGTTCAACGTGTAATCAGATTTATAGCACGACGAAAGAAACGAGAGATATGTTGTTTATCTTCTCATCGATAATTTTCAAACACAAACACAAACACACACACACACACACACACACACACACACACACACACACACACACGCACGTGCGCTAGATTACGAGTACAAGGTTTTCTCTATCCACTCTTCCATGGTGAAGGTTGCCGTGTTGGTCGAGTCTGGATCTCGTTCTCGGAAGATATCTAATAATAAGAAACTCTGTGAGTACGAGTATGCATATGTACTTGCATAGGCGAGTGCAAGAGATACTTATTGCAGGATATATCCGCTTACCTATCATTGTCTTCAGTCGCACCGCGCACATTATGTAATCGTCGAAGGTGATCATGCCATCCTTCGTTCCATAACGATGTACCAAGATGTTTAAAATGTGATTATTGAGTCGATAGCCTGCGCTATTTAACGCTTGCCTCAATTCAAACGCGCTCAACTCTCCTGATTCATTTTTGTCGTATAATTTGAACACAGCCTGGAGGAAATTAATCGTCTTTCGTTAACTGCTTTCTCTTACTTTCTTCTTTCTCAACACTTTACTTTTTACAACACGTTTCATTGTTTTCCTGATTCGGAAATTGATCGCAACGATTGAAAGTGATACACAGATTGACGTACCCTCCATTTCCTTATGTCGTTCCACAACGTTTTAAATTCTTCGAATCCAAGCTTTCCAGAATGATCTGTATCTAGCATGGCGACCATACTACGGCACACATCCTTACTGAATCCTTTGTCATTTGTTTCTGAAACAGAGGAAACGTTTCCGACTCTTTTGTATAATTGATATAATACAACGATTGAACCAAATATTTTCTAAATTCTCATACATTGCGCGATTGGCCATAAACATAAACGTTAGAAAGCGGAAGAGAAACATTAGAGGATTATGGTCTATCATTAGACAATTGACGATCGACAACACCACACAGATATATATGAGTGATTAATAGGATTGATATAAATAGATGATTAATACGACGAAGCTAGGTAACAGATTCTTACATGTTGTGTTCAAAGTTCAATGAATTAGATTTCCAAACGATCGTTGATCGTTATACGTATCTATATATCTATATATCTATAATCTATATGTAGGTATATTCTTTTTTCGCAATAAAGACACGGTGCACGGTGCACGGTGCACGAACAACTCGATTATAAATATTTGTTCTTCCAGTTGTTTTTTTCACTTGCAATTGTATTATATACGTATGTATCTACTTCATTATATAGGTTTATACGTTTATCTTATTCGTTTGCTTTGCACTTTGACAGTGCAAGTAACGGACGATAAGTTTTCTTTTTTCCTTCTTTTCGAAATACCGTTTTCGATCGAAAAGAGTGAAAAAGAAATTGAAAGAAAAGAAAAGAAAATCACGATGACGTTATAATGCTCTCAATCGCGGTAATAATCGAGTCGTTCTTTTCTCGTCGTGTCCGAGAAACCTAACCTTGCAAAATGTCAAAATGCTTACATACACACGCGTATGTATGGAAGTGTGACCTGCAATGTGATGGAAAAAAAAACCTAAAGTTTATTACTAGGTTAGCAGATAGTGTTACCTTACCTACAGTCTTATGATACTGTTCGTTATTACAAAGAATGCCGCAGAGCAGTGAGACGAGAGTGTCGATAAACGAACCATCTCCTTGTACAGTTTCGGGGGCACGAGCCTCACTATGACGCGCCGACTGCAATAGTTCTACCCGTAACATACAGCTACGTGTTAACATTAAACTTTACATACACATGTACATCCGGATCAGATGGATCGATATGTACGTTGAAATTAAACAATTTCATTAATATCCTTGACCACACACACACACACAAATATATATATACACTTATGTACATATATGTATAATACATATATATATATATACACTTATGTATACATATGTATAATACATATATATATACACTTATGTATACATATGTATAATATATATATACACACTTATGTATACATATGTATAATACATATATATGTATATATACACACACATATATATATATATATACACATATGTATATATAAATGTTACGCAGAGAAAGTTCTTTATCGGAAAGTGTTGCAAGGTGTTGCCACCAGCTTTCGATTACTTTGAATCGTAACTCGTCTCGAAAACAACTTTCAATCGTAACACGTTTGTAATGTCTATTGTCGTGTGTTGTATACTACGTATGGTATGCATCGTGCGTTAAGAAAACGTCGTGATTTTCAATCAGAATGTGAATTGATCGGAGAATAACTACCAACTCGAGGTATTTCAGTCTGTTACGTGGATCCAAATGTATCTATCTATGTATGAATGGATGAGAAAGTAAACGTGCGAATATTACGCGAATAAAATTCAATCGAGCATATATATTCGCGCAATATGTAATTGCGAATGAAATGACGATCAATCGAAATGGTGCGTTAACAAATTGCTGAAATGCGTGCTTTTGCTAATTGCTACGCGTCTTTTCATCGACTGTTGTTCGGTATAAAAGCTAAGCGGTCGATAATAGCAAATTATTAGGCGCTAGAAGCGTTACGAGCGTTACGAAAGCTTCACGAGAAAGCGAGAAAAGCACAAGAGCTTTTCTCTTTTCTCGCAAGAACAAGCCGATAGTATACGTAACGATGGAATTGAAACGCATAACTTGTTTCTAAAGCTTTCTTACTTTCTCTCTTTTCCCTCTTCTTTTTCTTTTGCGAATACTCGCAAGTATTTTATTTATAACGATACTGGCATACATGGAGCGGTTATCAATCGCAATTGTATAAAACTTGTATTTCACTTACATGTGCATTGCGGTGAAATTGAAATCGCACAGATGCGAGAAACATTCTTGTCGATTTTACATTTACGACTGAACTGTAACTGTTTTGAAAATACAAAAGTTCGAAACTTTAGATAGTAGGAATGATCGTACCTTTTCGCATCGCAAAATCTAAGATTTCCTTCAATTCCAGCCAATCCACTTCCATATCGTCGCCAGCGAGCTTTTTGAAGAACTCTCGTACTTTTTCTGCATTTCGATCCTGATCCGATTCGTCTTGAACCTTGAAAAGATAAGAACATTGAAATTGTAATGATAGAAAATTCTAAGTAAACTTGGAAGTTGATTCGTTATCATCGTTAGTGTTATACGGAATACACTACGTATATCGTGTTATACGCGCATTTGTTGTAGAGATTGATTGAAATTTATTTTCGTGTGCAAATATGAAAGTTTATTATAGCGTGCGCTTCTTACTTACCCTATCGCCGTCTCCGTGCGCGTTATCACCTTTAGAATTAATATTCACCTAAAAGCCAAGCAACATGGACATGCGAATTGTTACGAATTATTATTATTATTATTATTATTATTACTACTATTAATTAGGATTCGAGAACGATCATCGAGAACGAGTAAATTCTGTCGGGGATCAAGTCAATCGAACGTATGTCGAATCGAGATTAGAAAGATGGTAAATCTCGATGTTCTTTTCAACGAGCATTGTTGAGAAAAGCTTGAACACTTGGTTAGACGCGAGAGTTATCGACATGTAGTCACAAATGCACAAGAGTCGTGGCTGGGTACAAAGACGTCCGTCCCTCGAAGGAATGTATATTTATCGACGTCGTGTCGTGAGAAAGAGATATTATACGCTGCTACGTGTGTATGTCTTACCCTATCGTCAATTTGTCCGACGCCAACTTCATCGTCGTTTTCTCTGAAACGTGCAACGAACAACAGTTTCGATATCAACGCATCTTTTACACAACGTTTCTCGTTCGCTACGACTTCTCTGTCAAGAGAAGAGTTAAAAGAGATCACTCACTCCATGTTGTTCTTATTCTCGGAGAAGATTCGCAGTAAGAATTCCCCCTCTTCGTTAGGATCGAACGTACTGGGAACTATGCAATAGACGCCAGGTGGTAGTTTGAAACGGCATGTTACTTCTCGTAAATTTATAAACAGCGATCTTCCAACGGACGCGTTGTACTTGAAGAAATTGATATCGAGTGGCTTGGGTAACCGTTCCGGATACTCGAGCTATAAAATAAATAAACGG